TTGTGACACTTTTCGGTTTTGTTTTGTTGGGGGGGTGGGGGATGGTTACTATGCCATGTTTGTTGTAAAATAAATTTAAAATCTTATATCAACAGTTTGCATGTTTAAGATTGATGGCCCAATAAAAATACTTGAGAAACAAAAAGGAAAAAAAAGTACATGAATAAAAAGTGAAGACACACTTCTTCTCTCTGGTCTTCTAGTCAGAGCTGAGTATGACTCCTGACATTTCCCTGTGTTTTGTTTTTATATTTGCTGTTGTAAATTATTGTCTTTTGTTGTTATTGTAGTAAAGTGTTTGTATTACATGTACAGCACTTTGGCTCGACCAAAAATCGTTTTTAAATGTACTCTATAAATAAAACCTGATTTGATGTCATCCTTGCCTTGAACATCTAGAAGGACAATCATTGGGGAAATATTTGTGTTATATATATGTCCCCTAACATTCTCTCCTTGAAATTTTTTTTTCTTATTTAATCTGTCTCTTAATGTGGGTTTTTGTCAATGTTCATTGAACCAATTGGCCCTCCTTCTTCCAATATCATTAAAAATATGTCTTTCTTTCTTTCAGACTTATATCGCCCTAATAGTTCCTCCAGAATGTTCCAGGAGATACAACTGAATTTGTCCATGATATACCTGCTGGATTTACTCCACCACCAGAATGGCCTAATTAAAAACTTAAAGGGCCCATGTCATGCTTTTCCGGTTATTACCCCCCCCCCCCCCACCCTTGTGTGTTATGAAGGTTTTTATGCATGTAAACGGTCTGCAGAATCACAAACCCTCAAAGTACACCCTGTAGTGAGTAGAACTCTAACACATAAAATACCTGTCTATGCTGCCCCAGAACGCCTCGTTGGAGATTTCTCTTTTTCCATTGTTTTCTTCCTGGGTATAGTGACGTATTTGTGGATAGCAGAGATGGAGTACTCCATCTCTGCTATCCCCAAATACGAGTCCTGGACTCGGATTCGAGTCGGACTCGCGCACTGATTGACGCGACTCGGACTTGGACTCGTGAATTCTCGCGCACAATGACTTGGACTCGGACTCATGAATGATCACGTACGCTGACTTGGACTCGGGCTCGTGAATTTTCCCCCCCACGATGACTCGGACTCGACTTGTACATTGACGCTCCGACTTGGATTCGGACTCGAGCAACTTTTCCCTGGAGTCTCTCTGGCGTGTGCACCTGCGAGGCGAGTTCACGTACTGGGCCTCGCTATTTCAGTCTAAAGATGTCTAGAGACACACCCCGCATCGTGCTGTATGCTTTCACACATTCTGCTTCCACATTGGAAAAGAGCAGCGCAAAATGCTCGTTATGTGGAAACAATATTGAAGAGAAGGCTCCGTAACACATTACTCTAAGGATCGAGTTCAGACATATAGGCTGTCTTGAACATTATCATCAGAGTAACGTGATCTAATCAATAAATAAAGATTCAGCTGATAACACGAAAGCATATGGCTACTTAACATGCAGAATGAGGTTATTTTGCATGCTAAGTAGCCATGTGCTTTCTGGGGCTAAATCTTTATCAGTAAACCGATTTAACCGGTAAAAGTTCCTTCAAAATAAGAGTGCCGATCTTATTACTATCAAAATAAAAGTGCAAAACGAAAACTTGGCATACAAATATAATCACTTCTCTAAAAGGTAACTCATTTTAAATATAGTTTATTTATAATAATAATAATAATAATATTAACATTAGTAATAAGCTTTATATTTGTATAGCACCTATTACAAGAATTGTAGCAAAACTCGCTTCGCAGCAGTTCAATAGACAGATTAGTATAACATGACAGGATAAAAGCCGTGTAGAGGAGCAGCTACATTTCAACACATATATCCACGAAGATTAATACATGAAGACTTGTGACTCGGACTCTTCTTAGGTGACTCGGACTTGGACTCGAACACAGGTAATGATGACTCGGGGTATAGTGACGTAACGTGATTGGCCCAACGTAAATGGACCAATCAGCGGACTTCCTCACACACACTCAATATTTTCTCAGCTACAGCCCCGCCGATTTCTCCGCCTGAGACGGCGGGACGCGGCGAATCTGTGTGTGAGCACACACGCACACAAACTCCCAGCCAGGCTGCGGGTGTGTGTGTGTGTGTGTGCTCCGGCTGGTTTCGGGCTGGGTTTCGCCTGTCTCGCAGACGGCCACTGGGCTCACAGGGAGGCAGAGGCGCGGGAAGGTATTTTGAGTGGGGGTGCTGAGGTGCTGGACTCCATTGAACACTATTTCGGGCACTATAGTATAGAGCACGCACAAAAGCACTCCCCACACGCAAACACACAGTACACCCGCGACTGTTACAATGAAGGCTCGATAATCAGCTCATGGCATATAGGCAGGGGTAAAATGCTAATTTGTTGGGGGTGGACCTCACCTCCTCTAGGGGGGTCCGGGGGGATGCTCCCCCGGGAAGATTTTTTTTTAAATATTGAAGTTAAAAGCATCAATCTGGTGCACTTTGAGAACAACATTAAGAGATCTATGGATACATCTCTCAACACCCAGATGAAACACAACTGTAAGCAGATGTTCTTTTTCTTTATGGATATTTTACAAATCACTCCCCTTTCAAACTGTATTCTTGTTTTACTGCCATATAGTATTTCATAACTGTTTTTCCTTTATTCTCTTATTTTTTTATAACGATAATGATCATATGAAGGTGTGCCGCGGAAATAATCTTTTGAATAATTTGTGACCAAACCGTTTGAGACCCACTGAGATAACTTAGACTAAAGTTAACTATCTAAACACTCAGAGAGTCCTTTAGCTCACCTGAGCCTCTCAGTCTGAGAGGAGAGCTCTCCTCCAGCTTGTTGTGGAACAAACAGCTCCGTATGTCCGTTAGTGCAGCTAGCTAACCAGATGCTAACAACACGGTCCCTGCTGCTGGCACCGGACACACACACACACACACACACACACACACACACACACACACACACACACACACACACACACACACACACACACACACACACACACACACACACACACACACACACACACACACACACACACACACACACACACACACACACACACACACACACACACACACACACACACACACACACACACACACACACACACACACACACACACACACACACACACACACACACACACACACACACACACACACACACACACACACACACACACACACACACACACACACACACACACACACACACACACACTTTTATTTCCATGTAACTCTCTGATTGGTCTGGTGTCTTGCCTCTGTTGCATTCACTGAACACGGGAAATTACAGTCCTGTCGTCCTCTCTAGTGTCTTGGTGAGGTTCACGCAAAGCACGGTTAAAAAACAGAATTGTAGCCAACAATGTGGAATTGATTGGCTACATATTACACAGATTATGCACAGCGGGAGCAGCAATAACCGTCAAATAATAATTCAGACAGGGGAGCTCCGCACCCCCTGCCTGCCGCTAGGGGGTGCTGCAGCGCCCTCAGCACCCCCCTTCCCGCGCCCATGCAGGGAGGGGGGGCAGGAGCTCCAACAAGCCGTTTATGACAGAGTGAATACACATACTAAACAGAGATGCTGTATGAGAAACCAATGTGAGTTTGGGAAATTGTTATTAATTAATTAAATTAATAATTGTAATTTTTAGGTCTATTTTTAGGTCTTTAGGTCTCAGATATATAGAAAATATATAAAAAACATGTCTATGAAGTGTTTTGCTCAAAACACCCAACAGATCTGGCCATGCCTCATACCCCTCTGTTTCAGCCCCGTTACTAAAGTGCTGATTATGGGTATAAAGCTTTATAAAACAAAAAACAAAAACGAGGGGGCGGAGCTTATGCCTGCTCATGCGGGAGAATTCTACCCAGATACTCACGCTAAACGCTGCCGTGATGAAACTTCATATCATGTTCCAAACCACATCAAGGATTATTTCTGAAACAGTATGGCGCTCAAACACTTTTTCTCTTGTCGGTTCACCAAAAGGTGAGTTCCTTTTTTTTTATTTCCTGCTTTTTTACACATACTCTCTCCAGTACAGGTTAGCTCTGACTGTTAGCGATGCTTGCTAATCTAAACAAATATACGTCCAAAACACGTCCCGCATTGTTTCTGATACAGCCACGTTTCAGATAGCAACGTCTCCGATTGCAACGTGGGCGTAAAGCCAGCCCACATTTCAGATATTACTTAATATCGGACACAAATCTGGATCAGCTCCATTGTACCCCCGTTTATAGAGATTTGCGCACGGAGGAAAAGAGAGAGGGTTTTATTTTCTGACACTTTGTGAGTTTACTGACACACCAGGGACACATATTTATGTATAAAAGACATACAAAAGTGCATTTTGCATGATAGGTCCCCTTTAAATGTCTGCAGGTGAAATTGAAGAACTGCAAATGTGTAACCCTGAAGAGAGCAGAGATAACTGCTTCAGTTCCCATTCAGAAGGGGCAATTTAACTGTAAGTGGTGAAATGATAAATATAGCATACACTTCAATTGTGATTGATTTTTTTCTTTTTGGTGGGCCTTGTTATGGGGCTAAAGTATGTTTTACTTTGAATTACTCCTCACTTTTTCAAAACAAACCGGGGGCATGCCGACCACAATCCACTAAGTGAAACACTGACTATGGAGAAGTAATATATCCAATCCAACACTATTATAGAGCACTTCAAAACCTCCAAAGAGCTGTACAGAGAACTACAAAATCACATAACAAAAACAAATAAAGATAAGAACACAAAATAAACAAGAATAAAAAATACAGATATAGAGATGTACTACTCTGCTTCAAAAGATCCAAACTGTCTTTAATTTACACACACTATATCATATGCCCCTGTCTCCAGTATTTTTCTTGATTGAGATGTTCAGATATATAAGAATACACGAGTGATGGGATAAACAAACAATCAGTGATGTTCTTTCATCAGAGGCACTAACAGCTCACCTCTTCTGGCTCCTGCTTAGGAGATGATCTCACTGATCCTTTCGACGTGGGAGTCTAAAATACAAACAGAAGGACACAGAGTATAATGACTTCATTCTTTCTGTGGAAAAAACACTAATTACTTTCTGTGATGAAACCTCAGAGGACGCTAATGTCACTTACAAAAGACAGCAATTAGACTCAGCCTTCATTCTGAAAAGAGCGCTCACATGGCCTGATCATATCAATTATTTTTTAACTGAAGCCTTTTGAAAAAAAACACGTGTATTTTAATCGTTTATTTAGCAGGGACAATGCACATCAATGAACACTTAAAACAATAAAAATGTGTCCAGCGTAAATATGCCAGATTTAGCTTTGAGCTCATTTCCATCCGCAGTCCCTCACATAAAACATAAGAAAATGACATTTGACAAACATAGCAAAAACAAATGCATGATATGCAAAAGTGCAAAAGAGCAGCATACACAAGTATTTATGACATGATAATACAGTATAGCAGCAACGACATAAAGTGCAAGAGAAAATACAAGAGATGCATAAAGTGCAAGAGGAGATACCCCTGTGTTATAGTGCATTTAGCGGTGATTACACGTCTGGTTGTTTCTCTACCATTCTTTGAGTTGACCTTTAAAGCTATTGAGAGTGGGACAATCCCGTGTCTCAGTTGGGAGGCTGTTCCACAATGAGCTGCCTTTAATGGAGAGGACATTTTGTCCAAAAGGGGTCTGTCTACGGTGGACTTCACAGTCTCCTCTGGTTTCTGACCTAGTGCAGCGTCCAGTGTGTTTTTTGTGGATGAATTCCCCTTAGGGGGGGGGGGGGCAGTCCATGTAAACATTTATAAAAAAAGCACATACATTTAAAAGAAAAAAGAAAAAATTGTCAAAACTCAAGAAATTGTGTTTTTCAAGGATGGTACAGAGGTATGTATGTATGTAATATGTATTATTACAGTATACAGTATTTATTCAACTAAAATATTTGGTTTGAATTCTGCTTTATCTTATGCTATTTTATATGTCAATCTTTTTTTTATTCCTGCAACAGACTTGAATTGTACTCAGATTATGTCCATTACTTTTATTTTAAGTATATCATATGTTGCATCGTTGTCTGAGAATCAAGTTTGTATTGCACAAAACTTCATAGCAAATATTGTGCTTTTGATAAATAAAGCCTTTAACACTTTAATCTTTAAGAGCCATATTTACCGGATGTGTGATGTAAGCTATGTTTAATGTGTTTTATTATAAATAAGACGATGTGAATGTAAAGTACGCTGTATGTTAGATTAGAGATTCGTTTAGCAGGGTGAGGACTGGATTAATGCTGCTTTTTCAGCCAAATTGGAACGTTTTGGTAAGAATTGAAAACTTCCGACCTCCACGTGCAAGACGCCAAATGCAAGTAGGGGCATGGCTGACTGACAAACTGATGTTTCTTCGAAACTTCTGACACCAAGAAATAACCAATCGCTTTTGTGCAGAGGAGATTATCAACAGAGTGATTTACCGTAGCCAGGTACATAATTACATTGGTGACATTCATTTACATGCAGTACAGGATTTATTATATGATAGTGTGGATCCGTTACATGCAGAAACGGTTTTACTATATGATAGTGTGTACCTTTTTAACTAAATAGAGGCAGATATGCTCTACTAAAGTGTGTCGATGTTGTGCGACGTCAGACAACTGCTCCTTTATTAAGTTAAGGTTAATGGAATTGCAGGCTTACTATTAAGAATTTCCACTATGAATAGGGTTCCAGTTTCTATAGGTCAACCATTTTCTATGTGTGCTATTTTGAACGCAGTATCATTTAAGTCACTCAACATCTCGCTTTTCTGTTTTTTACCCATTTTGTACAGTATATAAAACATTTTTTTACATTTAATATATGTGTGTGTCTAGTTTACTCAATTATCAGAGGAAAAAATACATAATGAAAGAATATGTAAGACTATTTTAAGTCTATGAATACTGTTTTGTAAAAATAACTCGTTTAAATTTCCATACCATTACAGGGCCAAAGCATTGTAGACATAAACGCCCGCTACTGGCACATAACATTTCATGATGAACAGATAATTAGAGCTCTCCTTCAAAGATGTTTCGAGAAACATAATTGCCCTATTTTGAATGATAATTTGACCGATGTGCAAACAACTTTCTATTGTCACACAATGATCATTTATTCAGACTGCCACGCTGTCACTATGAAACCCGTTTTTAATGTCACCTCCCATCAGTCTTATATTTTGTGAGTTGTGCATGTGAGGATTTAAAACACTGTCAGGTCCTGTAGTTTACAACGTCTGGGTTATTTAGTATTTTATTTTCTACCCATTTGTAGAGGGACTTTATAGACATTTTCAATTAGGATGTTTAATTTTCATTAAAGGCCCTCAACTAGTATCTTTTGTCATTATTTTGTTACAATTTGATATGTAAAATGTCAGAAAATAGCTTAAGATGTCCATCAGAACTTCACAGAGCAAACATTGATATCATTAAATTATAATAAGTCCTAAACACAAATATATTTGCAGAAAATAAACAAAGAAAACAGCAAATCCTCAGAATTAAGAATCTTCAACTATAAGATTTGATAGATTTGCAAAGACTTACCTCTTTTTCTGCATCAGACACCATGGTTACAAAGTTGTCAGGGAAGACCCCCTCTCTGCCCCCGATCTCCCCTCGCCACCATCCTGGCTCTCCTGTGTCCTGTTAGACAACGAATTAAGAAAACATTTCATAACGACACAACTTAAGGCAGGGCTCGACATTATAAATGGCCCGCTGGCACTATTTAGACCCCCCCGGGCCAGCATAACGTACTTTCTACTTGCCCGCTCGGGCCACTAACAACAGTAAGACATACACTCACATTGTTCTGTGGTATTGGTATTTTGACAAACAATTTTGTTAGATTGTTTCGTTTATTAACGCTACAACATCGCGCTCTACTCCGCAGCTGTTTGTTGCGGAGTAGAGCGCAGTAGAGCGCAGTGCGAGCAGGCTCCCGTGCGCGCAGTGCGAGTAGGCTACAGTGCTTCACTACAGACTTTCGCGCCACCTAACCATTCGGCAAAATGTTTTTAAAACCACCGGTAACCAGCCAAGCGCCGGGCAAAAATCTGTTCTTAAATAAAAGAAAGTCACCGGAGGAGTTAAAGGAGAGTGACAGGGAGTATGAGAAGAGGGAGAGAAAGTTTCAGCCACACTGACTTGATCGTTGGAGTTGGCTTGAATATGTATTTTGTCGGTTCTCTGTAAATCAATGCCGACCTATTCTGACAAGTAAGTGAAGAGTAAAATATAAAAGGTATTTGCTATAGGGACATGTCCCAGAAGTAGGGCTGCAACAAACGACTAATTTGATAATCGATTAATCTATCGATTAATGAAACGATTAATCGACTATTCGGACTATTACTGTATGCCTTGCACAATTTCTCAAACGCTCTTATTTAGCCATCAACTTTTAGATTTAGCTTGAGGTTGTTTTAGGCATGTGGAAACTAACAATGAAGACAATAAAGATGAATACTTAATTCAAAAATACATATATTATTAAATTAACACATTTTGAAGAAAATTAACATAGCTCTTTATTTAAATGAAATACATAATATTTCACATCAAAAGAAACAACAATGTTTTAACAAATGGTATTAAATAATGTGATGACATAATTGTAAACAGAATAGCTGAAACTTTAACAAACTAAATAACTCAGTTACCTCTAATCCAGTGTTTCTCAAACTTTTTCATACCAAGGACCACTTAACCAATAAAAAAACACTCGCGGACCACCTAACTCCACAAGTATCCAAAAACACATCGTTTTTTACAAATCGCCTGAAAATGGTACAAACAAGTGGCAACATGTGTGATGAAGGTGTTTATCTGGGTTATATCATGCAATCAAAGTGAAACTTAAGCTTGTTCCATTGCGGAGATATTCCCGCGAACCACACTTTGAGAAGCACTGCTCTAATCATTAACCCATGTTTGAATCATGTAGCTAACTCTGTGTGTTGCTGCTAGCATACATAACACCTGACGTGGAAACGTTACTCGTGGATGGGGCTGCAGAGCTGCTAGAAAGACAGTCGATTTGATTTAGGGACTCTCCACTCTTCAAGGGCCAGGTAGCAGAACACTCCACAGGGTTTGACCCGCATGAAAAAAGCACCCCACACCAGGTGTGTGTGAGGAGGCAGAAGGCAGCAATCGAAACACCCGCTGTGTTAGCTGGGATTCATGTTAATGGTGAAATAGATGCAGGTTTCCAGGATAAAATGGAGGATATGTTTCATACAGCGTACTATGTTGTCAAGAAACAAAAGCCATTTACTGACTTTCCGGACCTGGTGCAGCTCAACAGTAGGACTGGCTCCAACATGACCAATTGTTAATTGTCAGACAAGGCATGTTTAAGGTGAGAATCACAAATACATTAATACATTCCGAATTTACTATTTAATACACTTATTACAATTCCCTTTTTTACCAACAGATTCACAATTGATATCTACAATGTGGAGAGGGAGCTACTGCTTTCTGACCCAAGTATGCAGGCTATATCAGTGTGATTATTGACGGGGCAACTGACACTGGGAACCTTGAGAATGAGATTGTCTATGTCTTCAATAAGGAGAGAGGAGTGGTTCAGTCATTCCTTGGCATAGAGGATGTCAAACACGCACATGCAGATGGTGTACTTTCTGCAGTGCAGACAGTGTTTGAAAAAGCAGGTCTGGATAACTGGAAGGAAAAGGTGGTTTTCCTATGCGCTGATGGTGCGGCTGTCAATTTGGGGAAGAGGAATGGTGTGGCTGCAAAGCTGAAGGAAGAGATTGGACACCTGCTTGCTATACACAGTGTGGCACACAGGCTGGAATTAGGTCTGGTGGATTCAATAAAAGAGAATCAGAGGCTGAAGCAGCTGCTGCAATATTTGCATCAGCAATACCACTACTCTCCAAAGGCACTGAGGGAGCTGAGGATGCTGGCAGATGCAATGGAGGAGAAGGTCCTCAAGCCTACAAACCTGAAGGGGGCCAGGTGGTTGCCCTACATCCACAAGGCAACACAGATCCTGTGTAATAGCTATAGCCGCTTTCACACCGCAGGACTTGCCGTACTTTAGTGCCGGCACTAAAGTACCACGGCACTGAATCCGCCAGGGGGCTAGTGCCAATCGCATTCACACCGCAGTACTTTCCCTGAGGCAAGATTACGATGACGTCACTTCGTCTTCTTCTTCTCTGGGTTTACTGGCAGGCCGCAAAACCACTTCACGGCGAGTAAAAAAAAAAACGAGAGAAGAAGAACTACACGGGGGAGGGGGTATAAAGCCCACCCGCTGTATGAGGCGTTTGTTTACTTTCCGACCTCAGACATGATGGAGTTCATAAGGGTAATTTACAAATAAAATACCCCATTATAACAATGGACTTTATCTTTATGTATTTATTATATATTACCCCCTCAGGCTGATTTTGGAAAAGGACATTAACCCTTGTTTGGTGTTTTTCCCTTATTTATCTAAAACAAATGACATGATAAATGACTTGTGTTTATGTGTGTAAGACTTGTGTTTCTGCCATTGCTGCACAAGGTTGCAACATTGTAGATACATTCAACCACCGACACCTGTCTGCTCTCACATTCTTCTATTCTGCACATTTGGGGTGGGACACAATAAATAAAGCTTCGCCAGTTTGTTTGTTTTATTGCACAGTCAATACATAACAATAACGGCATCACGCTGTTCCAGGTGTGTCGTATGCATGTACATTGAAGTTAAATAAAAGTGTGAAATGTAAAATAAAGTCTAAGTAGTTTCAAAACAATGTAACAGTGGCAATATATATAGCAGCAGACACACCTTAGTGCAAGTTAGGTGTCAGTATTAAAAAACAGTGGCAATATATATATATATAATAACAATAGAAAATCGTTAGCACTCTTATTATTGTGGTCTTTAATTTTTTTATAGTCCTGCCTGAGTATCTTTATTTTTACCCGGCATCCGTGTGCACTGTGCACGATTCCCAGCTCAAGTAGCTTTTGCGAACATCGCTCAAAACATTTGGAGTTGGGAACTGCTTTCTGTAGAAGCTGCTGCATCCCGTCCTCAGAGTAAATTGCCAGAAGCGCCGACACTTCCTCATCATTCCACCGCTCCGGTGTTGTAGTACGTGTGGTCATAACTGCTTTAAAGTATAAAAAACTACTCGCTCAGGTGTGGATGTGGTTTTGTAGCGAGGAAAAAAATGGCTGCCTAACAAAAAAAATCTAACGGAGCGTGGTTTGCAATTCGCCCAGCCAATAGAAATAGAATATAAATTGGCACTCTTTTATCACCAGGTTCGTACCAACTCTCTAGCAGGGACTGAAAATGGCTACCGAGAGCATTGTGCAAAAATTCTCAGCTCTTGATCATAATGTGTGGCCAAAACTGGACAACTCAGATGAGTCCAAAGAAGCCGTTGTTTTCCATGGACGAGCACATATTGAGTCCCTGTGCCACCATTACAAGAGCATCCTTGTGCGTGAGGGGACCACAGTCACTGAGGTGTTGGGAGAGTACAGGCTCTATCAAATCTGGGCAAGAATGCGGAATGGGCCCCTCAGAGACAGTCTCCTGGAAATACTCCAGAGAGGTGATCTACAGACCAAGTTTAAGAACCTAGGGATCTTTGCCCAGATCTACCTAACAATGGCCGTGACATGTGAGAGAGGCTTCTCTTGCATGAAGAGGGTGAAGAGCGACTGGAGGTCCTCACTGTCGACCCAAAATCTCACTCGTCTCATGTTCCTGACCATTGAAGGGCCTAGTCTGGATACCTTTGATGCTAAGAGAGCTGTTTTGCAGTGGTGGCAGTCGGGGTCAAGAGCTAGATGTCCAGGATTTACAGCCTGGTCATCAGGAGGACGGCAAAATCAACCGACCGAGGAGGAAAATGAGGAAGAACTGACGATTGAAATGTTGTAGTATAGTAGTAATGTAGTTTGTAAATAAATTACTATTGCAACAAATGTGTTAATTTTCTTCATTATTAGAGTCGATTTTATTTGGACTAATGTTACCATTGTAACCAGTGGTTACAATGGTGGGGCCAGTGATAATGAAAATCTAATTTGAACCTTAATTTGACCCTTAATGTCTACCCTGCTTAAGGTATTGATTTGTGATCTTTGCTCTGTCTTGGCTCCACAGCAAAGTAGAAAATCATTTAAATAGCACTTCTCAACAGTGTCCACTAGATGGTGCTACATATCTTTACTCTGTGGTCTTTAAAAAGGAAACTGAAGGAGTCATGTAGTCAGACAACATAACTGTCAACATGTCAGAGGCAGCTGAGTTTGAGTCCGAGTGTGTGTGCCTCTATGTGTGTGTGTCTGTTAGTGTCTGTGTGTGTACGTCTGTGTGTCTGTCTAGACTCCAATGTGTATCACCTAATGGAGAAGACTAAATGGGGCTTTAACAAGACAGAGGTGTGTCAGAATTTCTCTGTAATTTAATAAGCCATCAAAATGCCAGGGACTGCAGATGAAAACTAACCTTTGTGGCTAAATCTGACTTAAGTTCTCCACGTCCATTGTGCCTTCTCAAATAGATACATAGATACCAATGCCTCAATACAATGTGAGCAAAGACATGCAACGTGATTGATGAGTTGCAGTACTGGTTTCACTACTTCAAAATGTGTTTTTTCTCATGAAAATAACAAAGATCATTATGATCAGTGTGTTAATCTCCTGTTAATATATTTGATTTCATCCAACTTGTGACTTCTAATAAAGAATTTAACCACTAGATACGCTGGGAAGATTTGAGTACTATCAGGAAATGTCATAACTTAACCCATGTTTATAAATCAAACTGATTTGCAGGATGATTTTTGAGAATATACTTGAAAACAGTTCTGCAGTTATGAGTAAGCCCGCATGAGCACATCAAACAGCCAAGCATGTGAGTTTAGATAATATAGGTGACTTTTGTGAACCCAGTTGTTTGGTTCCATCATTTAATTTCACAACTTGAATGTATGAGACAGTGGAGCCTTACCTTGCTCAGGATGTGGAGGGTCTCGCCCTCCTTTATGGTCAGCTCATCCTCATTTGTACCCTCGAAAGCAAACGTGACTTTACAGTACTCTTTCGCTGAGGAAACAGAGAATGGGGTCTTAAGGATTCATAGGCAAAAACACAAGACAAAACTAAATATACTACAGTTTCACACATTGATGTACTGTTCATGTCAAAAAAGGGAAACGTCTGATGTAATATCTCAACTACCAAACACACAAACAACACATGGTTTCAAGTTCTCTTACTTTAGGTTTATTTTTATTTTTTTTTAAATGTTGTCTGTCTACTTATAAATTTTAAGTATTTTTCAGTGCTTTCAGTGTTTTACCTTTGGATTTGTTGTCGTCTGCTCTCTGCGAGTCTGTCATGTTGGGATGGGCGGGCTTTGCAGCGGATGGTAATGATGGGATTGGCTAAAATGAAGCAAACCATACAGATGGAGATGATTTATCGCACATGAGTGGACATGTTTAATGTGTAGGACTACTGTCATAAAGACAGAGTGAGTCTGAACCCAATGAGTGGAGTTATCTGATCATGAGTAGGGATGGGTATCGTTAGGATTTTATCGATACCGGTACCGGTACTGCTTATCGGTATCGGTATTTTTCGATACTCTTATCCATATTTTTCAATCATTTGGTGCTCAAAATTATACACATGAATACAAGATGTGAAGATTAAACAGTCATTTTATTGTAATTTTCTTGCAGAAATAACCGTATAACTTATACATTAGCTTCTCAGAAGCAGACAAAATAAATTAAATAAATTAAAGGGGCCTGGCTCTCCCTATCATGCTTTTTGGGGGTTTCCCTCAGACAGAGGATGAAAAGAGGCATTTTTTTAACATTTGTAAATCAGTTACATCTTCATCCAGACATTTCAAACTGACAACCTAGCTCGACAAGAGATCCTTCAAACATTGTCCTACAGTGACATCATGCAAAACTGTGATATGAAGAAATTGGTAAAAAGGCTAAGATGGCAAAAAGATAAAGGTGAGTATGTATATTATTCTGGATTGTACTTTTAAATCATCACAAAATAAATGATGAATGAGCTGAAACACGTCAAAATGTGTCTGAAGGTTTAAACATAGAACAAAGTATTTGAGCTTAAAATATGTAAATTCCTAGTAAACGACCAACAATTGCTGAACCATACACAGCCCCACCTAGTGTCAGCAGAAAGTATTACGAATAATGATTACAAAAAAATGCAATACAAAAATAAAAATATATATAAAATATATTTTTAAATCATGTTTAATCATCTGTTTCGTCTGTACATTGCCGTTTTAGTCTGTGTTCTTCTAATTAGTGTCTACAGTGTGTGCCTATTGAGCTGTTTAGAGCCATGTGGGACAAAACCCGATCCTGCCCTTCCCTCTCACTGTCTAAGTGAACGGTGACTGTAAAAACTACAGTGCGCATGCTTAGAGTATTTTCCTATTTAATGTGTGTGGCAAAAAAATAATGACCATATGGGCATAGAGCTGCCATCCCCACCATACGTCATCTCACATAATTCAGAGCTGATTGGCTGTAAGTACGTGTGCTGCGAAAAGTGTGGTGTGTGAAGAGGAGACGAGAGAGCTGCAGTGACGCATCCTAAAACCCGGAAGTAAGCTGCGCATGGGTTCCCTCGACAAAAAAGCAATGAGATCTCTCCATAGGATTTTAGAAAATAGCTCAAAATAAGATCTGTGGGAAACGTAACCGTTAGATAAATGCACGTTTTGTTCAGCCGGATAATATCCACGTCTACCCTACTTTTATAATTTTCGAATCATAAATCTATCGATTAGATTTATGATAGACTTTTGAAACTACAAGATAAGGAGGACTTTTACAAAAAAGTAATAGAGATTTTTGTCCAGAAGGATAGCATGGACTTCATCTTCAAGAAGACCGCAATTTTATTGAAAATGGGATCTTACTAAGAGAGAACAATTCAATATTTAAATGATAAAATTAAAAATGTTGGGTATCATTTTGTTGAACTGTCTGTTTAAAATTAATCGAAGCATCAGACAAAAAAAGCTTTTGAAAATAATATTATATTTTGATTTAGGTCAAATGAAAGGCCACATTATTATAGGTGTAGGAGCTCACATTAATACACTGTCAGTGTTAATAAACTAAAAAAAGACAAGGCGATGTGCCTGCAAGACTTCACTCAGGTAAACCAAACATATTACCCGTGCGCAGCAGCTAACCTGCCTGCAAGCCTTCGCTCAGGTCACATTTACACACAGCGCGGCTGAAGTCCGCGAAAACGGCATCTATAGTTGCCGACAGTTTAGTATTTTTAGAATACCGTTGCATTTGTCCCACAAATCGTATCAGGTTGCACTGAGGAGGACGTTGTTAGCGTGCTACTGTTAGCACTATTAGCACTAGCAGTATCGCTAGCATCCACATTGTTTAGGCTGTCAAATACACTGCAAATTCCGAACATTTAAACATAGCCGACACTTCATTCTTTACTTTGTCCGTTATTATATGTAGAAGATTATACTTTTTCTCCGTCATATTGTTTCCATAGCAACAACTTCAAACAGGCATAGCCTACACTTCATTCTTTACTTTGTCCGTTATTATATGTAGAAGATATTAATTTGTTCTCCGTCATGTTGTTTCCATAGCAACAACTTCAAACAATAACAACTAACCGCTAGCCGCAAAGCTAGCATCACAGCCACTGCTCCGTTTTCGGAGACTTTGCACAAGTTTTTCACAAACATTTTCACGCTAGGAGTACTTCCATTCGCTTCGTCTTGATCTGTAGATGTGATTTGATGTGTCGTGTGTCCCCCCAACTCCTCTCCAAAGTTCAGATATTTAATAAAATACTCAGGGGAGTTTCCTGAATGTTCATTCCAAAAGCTAAGCACTAGGCCCTGGGTAAATTAAGAGGCTGATCTCGGGCACTTTTGTCCACTTTCCCTGGTGGTAGAAACTCAAGCCATACATCCCTGGAATCGTCTCAGAGAGTAGATGATCAGTGGGGCCTTGTTTTTACAGAATGATGTGTTTTTTTATGGGGAATTCAAATATGAGCTTATTTTTTAGGATTTTCGGAGACTTTGCACACGTTTTCACAAACATTTCCACGCTAGGAGTATGGGAGTACTTCCATTCGCTTCGTCTTGATCTTTAGATGTGATTTGATGTGTCGTGTGTCTCCCAACTCCTCTCCAAAGTTCAGATACTATATAAAAATACTAAAAGGTAAATAAAACATTAAACATAATGACAAAATAACAACCTGAAAGATATGTATTCTATCTACACATTTCGTAATTATCTAATCTAGTGGCCTTATAAAAGTGTTGGCTAAAGTAACGCAGAATCTATATATTTTTTAATTGTAAATAATTAGAAACATTATTTATGTGCACAAGTACATGGGACCCCACCATAGCACCCCACACATAACAAGCTGTCTCGAGTTCCTCCGGCTGCAGTTCCGCAGACGGCCGGTGTGTGGCAGCAGAGCGCTGGGAGCAGAGGGAAGTGAGTAGACGGACATGACGGATGACTGATGCGACGAAAATACACCCGAACATATCTGGTAGCCCGAACATATCTGGTACTGACAGCGGTACTACACTTCCTTTAGGTTGCTGGGCCCGGAAACACTTTTTCCCATTGACTTACATGGGGAAAGAGTGGTCTGTAACTCGTTGGATAATTTTTTTGAAACTAAATAAACAACCCAGTATGAACACTTGTATAGCCCTTATTAAAAAACATTTGTTCCTCAAGTTTTAAAAATGTGCTAATAACGTTATTCTGAGAGTTATTTCTATGGAGTCAGATTTGGGTCAATATTCTAGCGCGTAAAACAAGCTACTCACGAGCGGAAAATGTGCTTTTACACGCGCATAAAATGACCCTCACGCACAGATTAAACCCCCGCGAGCGGCTCTGTGCCCGCGAGCGGCTCTGTGCCCGCGAGCGGCTCTGCGCTCGCTCGCGAGAGAGACAGCCCTCTTGCTCGCTCGCGGGAGTGTCAGCCTCGCGGAGTCTGTCTACGCGCGCGTGAAATGTTTCTGGCACTTTGGGGCGGAGCCACTGGACTTTGATTGACAGCTGCAAGGAAGCCCGGAGTTTCCAGGTTTGATAAATGCCTGAACTACCAAGAGCCGAGGAGTGACAGCTGCAAGATCAGTTGGACGAGATTGAATGGT